CTACCAGGTCTGGGACTTGAACTGTGGTTGGCCATGTGAAAGATCTGGGACTTGAACCGTGGTTGGCCATGTGAAAATCCAGCAAAGTAACTGCTATGCCATATGCTGGTCCCTGGACTTCTTTCTAAAAAGGCCCGGGGGCTCCCCAGGAGGTCAGCACTTTGGTCTAGAGTGAAGCAGATCTGGCTGTTCTGGCTTTGAATAGGCCCAGATGAGACACTCTGGCCGTCCCATGTGGTTGCTCTGAAAATCATCTTGGCTGGTGTTGGGGAGCACCATGGAGGAGCTCCGTCCCCAAGGTGTCCCTTTACTCCCCTTGAATGCTGCAGGGTTGAGGGGTGACATCGGCACAGGGGCCTTGACCTCCCTCCTCTTCACCATGTTCATCCCTTCCTCCGTCCTGTGTGTGGCCTGGTCCTGAGAGAAATGGGTGCTCCGAGTGAAGCCACAGCCACAGAGGCCAGAGTGGTAGGCCTGTCCCAGCGTAGCCCTGGGGTTCCATGCCAGGTTGGAGCTGCACCCACAGTCTGGCTGGAGGACTTGGTGGTGGTGTACCCTGGAGTTCAGTCCGGAGCCCTTGCCACCGTGTTCCTGCTGCTGCGGCTGCAGGTTGGAGCGGCAGCCGAATCCCTCGGCACCTGGGGCTGAGGAAGGGCTTCTCCCTGCGTGCTGGGCGACGCGGTAGCATGCACTAGTAGGCCCCTGCCAGCACCAGGGAGAGCAGACCAGAGGCCCAGCAGGTGTGGGCTGGCGCCTGGCTACACTCTCTGCACAGGTAGGTGTCTCCCCTGTGAGGACCCAGATTGGCAGCTGGGGTGAAGTGCTTGCACATTCAGGGCAGGAGAGCTCACTAGGTGAGCCTTCCCGTGGTAGTCAGAGTTGGGGTGACCTGCTCACAGGAGCTGCAGATGTGGGCCACTTGCCTGGGTATAGTGAGCTATACTCCGGGCAGGAGCCCCGGCCACAGTGGTGACAGAGATGGGGGTGGTGGGGAGGTGCAGGTGTGTGTGGTGGTGCTGGGCTGGGTGCGAGCTGTGGCAGGAGTCGGGCCTGTCACCTTGTCACCTGTGTAGGAGTGGAGGTACAGGGGCCGGTGGGTTCGTGGCCCCACACTGGGGCAGGAAAAGGCTTCCTTCTCCCAGACTGTGCTAGGAGGGGAGGGAGCAATAGGAGGCTCCACATTTCAGGCAAGAAATGGGCCTTATAGGACCAGCAAGTGGTGTAATGATTAAGGTACTGGACTCTCACATGGCCAACCATGGTTCGAGTCCCAGACCCAGCAGCTTATAACTCATGCTGGGCACATGTGTGTGCATGCCCAAATCCTGAAAGGAGAATGTAGGAGGGACTCCTACATCCCGCATCCCCGGGGGGGATGACTTCCCAATTTCTCACTCACTGTCTCCATTGCATCCCCGGGGGAGGGGGGGGGGTGACTTCCCAATTTCTCACTCACTGTCTCCATCTGTCTGTCTCTCCAGGGAGTGCATGTGCCCTAAGGCAAAAATCTCCTTAAAAAAGAGAAAGGGGCAGGGACCAGCAGTTAGCGTAATGGCTATGTCGCTGGACTCCCACATAGTCGACCACGGTTCGTGTCCCAGACCCGGTGGCTTAAAACACACGCCAGGCGCGTGTGCATGCGTACCCAAGATCCTGAGAGGAGAATGGAGGAGAAGGGATTGAGGCTTGGCCAACCCCCCTGGGGGGTGATTTCTCTCTCTCTGTCTCTCTCTGTCTCTGGTGAATGCACGTACACACGCCCTATAGCAAAAACCTCTCAAAAAAAAAAAAAAAAAAAAAAAGGAAAGGGGTGGACAGGTGATGTGGTGGTTAAGGTGCTGGACTCCCATGTGGTCAACTGTGGTTCAAGTCCTGGACCTGGTGGCTTCCTTTCTCACTTCCCTCTCTCTCTCTCTCTCTCTCTGGTCAATTTGAAAACTAATAATAACAAAAAATAAAGTTAATTATTAATTTTAAAAATGCTTTCCTGTGAACACTGAGTAGTTTACTTGGGCTCTCAGAGTTAGGCCTCACTCGGGCAGGAGTCTTCTAGAAGGCACATTTCCTCAGGCTCCTGAGTCCCTGGGTTCCAGGGCTCAGCTGAATTCAGACACAAGGTCTTCCCTGGCTTGGGAATGAGAAGCCCAAAAGGTAGAATGGCCAGGAGCAGGGAGGGTGAGATGCGAGGCTCCCCCATCCCTCATATCCCCCGGCCTGCAGAAACCCTCTCTCCCCTCCCCAACAAAGTCCCCCATCCACTGGATAAGTTCCCTCCAGGCCCCCTAGCCCCCTCAGTGGTCCCTGTTCTGGGGGCAACGAGCCCTCCTGCATACACACTTGTTCCCTCTGTGAGGAGAGGTGGCAACATCGGCTGGAGCGTGCAGCGCAGTGGCCCTTGTGTGCACCTGGGACCACTCCGCCCCACAGAGGGCACCTGCACTTGCTGCTGGACAGACAGGGATGGGGCAGGGAGGGAGCACGCCCTAGAGGCATGGCCTCGCTGCAACCCTTTCTCCATTTCTTCACCCCATTGGGATTTGGGGCATGTTTGTGCATGTGCCCCGTTTGTTGTCATGCTGGCAAAGTTGCTGGGGTCGGGATTCGAACCATGTGGTCATGTGGTATCTGGCTCCCTTAACCACCAGGTCACAGGGTGCCCAGTACTTTCCATGCCTAACAATTTTCCAGGCTATGCAACAAGTTCAGGATCCACACTGGGAGAGCCATTGGTCTGTCAGGCATTGCTTTGTTTGTTTGTTTGTTTGTTTTGTTTCTGTTTGTTTGTTTATTTTTAGAGATTTTGCTATATGGTACACGTAATTGCCGGAGAGACAGAGAGACTGAAAGCAAGAAATCGCTCCCCAGAGGTGATGGCCACTCTGCAGTCCTGGCTCCTCTACGCTCCCCCGGGGATCCTGGGCACACCCGCACCTGTGCCTGCTGTGAGTTTCAAGCCACCCCGTCCAGGACTTGACCGCGGTGGGCTAGGTGGGAGTCCAGCGCCTTCCCCACCACGCCATCTGCTGGCCCCTGTCAGGCATCGTCCCGCGCTGGTATTCGCTCACTAAATCCCTACCACTAGCTGCTCTTCTCCCTGTTTTGCAGTGACGAGACCAGGAAGACCCAGTGACCTGCGCCAAGCTGCTGTTTGTAAATGGCGGAGTGAAGAACTGAACCCCGGTCCCTCTGACTCCAGGGTCCGCGTCCTTTCCCACCCTGCTTCCTTGCATAGTCAGTTATCCTGCGCGTTCCTTGTTCCTCCACGCGATAGCGCGGTTGCTCTGTACACTCTGTATCCCTCGCCTTGCCTAACCCGGGACTGCAGGCTTGACAGCGGGACTGAGGGCGAGGTACCCCAGGGGAGCCGAACCAGGAAGAGAGCTGCTCCTGCCCGCACCCCGCCGGCGAGCCGCCTCCTCCCAGGCTGGGGCAGGGGTAGTTATTCTTTCTTGGGGAGACGGGTAGGGGAGACCTACCCAGGGCAAGGGGTCCACCATGTCTCCCACGGGATCACCCACTAAGCAGACTAGCTGTGCAGTCCACTGTCGTGGGGACCGAGGAGGGCGAGGAAGCGCCCACCGCCGAGGGGACCCGGGAAACGTGAGCGGTGGGGAGTAGCGGAGGGCGGAGCGGAGGCGGCGGCTGGCTGCGGGGCAACTGGCAGGCTCCATACGGGCCTGTGGCGTGGGGTAGGTGGCGAGCAAGAAGAGGCCGCCGGATGGCGGGACTGGGGAGGGCCGGAGTGAGGGGTGACATCTGGCAGCCCCGGGAGCCCGAAGGGAAGCCGGGCCAATTCCGCGTCTCGTCCCCACCTCGGCGGCGTCTCGCCCGACTCCTCCCCACCTGCTTCTCTTTCCGGAGGGTCCAGGAGCAGCGCCCACCGCTCCCGCCCCGACATCCCGGGAGCGCCACGCCCTGGGGGTCTTAGGCCCCGAGAGAAGGGGCGTCGGAATCCCGGGCCCCAGGGAGGGGTGTGGAAGGGCTCCCAGGCCAGCAGGAACCGCGGAATGCTCCCGCGGGGAGGGTGGCCCCAGTGAGCGCCAGCGCCAGGTCGCCCGGCCTGCGGCACTCGCCGCCGCCGCCTTCCCCTGCGGCCCTGCGGGTACCGGGCACGCGGGGCACGAACAGGAGGGCGCTGTCGGGTCGGCGGGCGAACTGCTCAGTCTGCGGGACCCGGAGGCCGAGTGGGTCTTCCCGGCACGGGTGACTGACCTCCGCTAGCGAGGCCGAGAAGTCTGGGGAGGGGACCAGGGCAGTGGAAATGGGGCGCGAGGGGCAGACGGCTGGGGCGGCGCAAGGACCCTAAGCTCCTCTTGGAAAGGAATTCGTCCGCTCGGGGCCCCGCACTGCCCCGAACCCGGCGAGCAACACCGGAGCCTCCTGCCCCCGTCCCGCCCGCGGAACTCGGAGCCGGGAGGCGGCCGCGGCTTTCCTGGGCGCCCCGAACCCTCCGCCCTAGCCGCTGCCGGGGCGCGCAGAGCAATGCCGGGGCGCGCAGAGCAATTCCGCGGCGCCTCCTCCGCGGCCGCGCACACCTGGGAACTGCAGTCCCCAGCTCGCCCGCCCCCCTCGGGCAGGCCGCCGGGACCCGCGCCCGGGCAGGGCTCTCGCAGGCCTCTCCCCGCCCCCTCACTTTCTCTTTCATCAGCTTCTCGCAGCAAGGACTCATTTCCCCTCCGAACGCCGCCGTCCTGTCCGCACCTGCACACACGCTCAGCTCTGCACTTTGCCCACTTCCCTCGGGCATCGAGCTGAAGTTCCAGCCCGGAGGATTCCGGTTTTAGGGGGGCAAGTTTGTCTGACGTCACATCTCTCTGCTCTTCGCCCGTCTCTTCCAGGCTCACAGACGTTTCTCCCTATTTTCATTTGCGTATGTGGCGGTTCGGGAAAATGGATTTATGCACTGCGAACTCTTGTTTCCAGATCCCATCCTGCATGGTTTCTAGGCCGCCCCCCCTGACGTTTTTTCTTGCACACCCAGATAAACACAGAACTGCAGATTTCAAAGAAGAAAAAAAGCAAATTCTTGTTGGCAGGAGGGCACGAAGACAGTTCTTCACCTTCCCCAACATCTGGCGTGGTGGGTGGTGGGGTAATGGAAAAGGCCGCAGGCGGGCACGTGCCCCACTCTGTACAATATAGAAGAATCTGATATAGACGCTTTGTATAAAAGTCACTTGTCCTCATTTGTGTCCTTTTGCTGGCTGGCTGGGCTGCGGGGGGTTTGGGGGACTAAGAAGCTGGAGTGGTGGGCCAGGACACAGGGACACCCTGTAGTCCCCATCCGCTGGCTGTCCCCTTGCTGGGGTTGGGGTCACTTTGGATCCTTGGTGGGAGCATAGCAGAGTTCCAGCGGCCGGGACACCTTCCAGAACTTCTCGTTCACTAGCTCCAGGGTCAGTGAGCCGTTCAGCGTCTGCGGGGCAGGGAAGAGAAGACAATTGAGAAGATGAAGGAAATGAACGAGGCACAGGTGACCAGAGAAGGGCGAAAGAAAAAGGAATGAAAGGGACGGGGCAAAACAGAAGCACACGGGAGAGGGGAGGAGAGAAGATGGAGGATGCATGGGGAGGGAAGAGGCTGCGGAATTAATTAGGGCGGGCGCTCACCGTGAACGCGCCCCCTCCAGGTGCGATGTAGATGGTGTACTGCTTTTCACTGACGCCCTCCAGGCTAGGCAGAGCTGGCTCTTCAGGACCGTCGCCTCCTCCGGCCCCCCCACCCTCGCCCCCACCCCCGTCAGGTCCCGCGGAGTCAGAGGCGCCCCCTCCAGGCCCTCCTGGTTCTCCCGCCTCTTGCTGCTGCCTTCGCTCAAGGGCAATACGCAAGGCCACG